TCTGTAGAACTTACCCTTAAGTTTCGGTGGCACCTTCTTGTCACACAAAACACCGGAAGCGAGCCTTCATTTCATCCATCCCGCCCTAATATGATGTATGACATCTTCATCAATCTCCCCATCCCCCTGAATAATAGACCCAAGGTACTTAAAACTCCCTCTCCTAGGGATGACCTGCGAGTCCAGCCTCACCTCCCCTTCCCCTCCTTGAGTTTCGCCACTGAACTTACACTTCAAGTATTCTGTCTTGGTAATGTTCAACTTGAAACCTTTAGATTCCAGGATCTGCCTCCATACCTCTAATTGCGCGTTCACACCATCTCACATCTCGTCAATCAATACAATATCATTTGCAAATAGCATGCACCACGGCACCTCCTCTTGGATGTGGCGCGTCAGTACGTCCATCACCAGAGCAAACAAAAAAGGGCTGAGTGCCGACCCCTGATGCAACCCCATCATAGCCGGAAAAAAGGGCTAAGTCCGAGTCCCCACCCACCGTCCTAACTCGGGTCTTTACTCCATCATACATGTCTTTAATAAACCTAACGTAGGCAACATGTGCACCTCTAGCCTCCAAACATCTCCACAAAACTTCCCTCGGAACTTTATCGTACGCCTTTTATAAGTCGATGAACACCATATGCAAGTTCCTCTTTCTCTCCCTATGCTGCTCCATCAATCTCCTAACAAGGTGGATGGCTTCTGTAGTTGAACACCCCGGCATAAACCCAAACTGGTTCTCGAAAATTGACACACTCCTCCTCACGCTTAGCTCTACCACTCTCTCCAGACTTTCATAGTATGGCTAATCAGCTTGATACCCCGATAGTTATTGCAATTTTGGATATCACCCTTGTTCTTGTATACAGGAACCATCGTGCTCCACCTCCACTTTTCGGGCATCTTCTTCGTTCTAAAAATGATATTAAATAACCTAGTGAGCCACTCCAAGCCTGCCTTGCCCGCACTCTTCCAAAACTCCTCTTTTTATCCATCTAATTTATAAAATACATTAGATGGATAAAAAGAGGAAATGATTAAAATCACATTCAAATAAATTTGAAGATCTAGAAAAATAAAAGGGCTGCAAATAAACAATTTAAATAAATAATAAAAATGGGATTGTACGAAAAGAGTGAATAACAAAGATGAAGAAATTAAGGGTCTGTTTGGAAAGCCACCCGGTAATTAGAATTGGTGTAATTACTAAGGTAGTAATTACACAATCTAGTAATTACGACGACCTGATTGTTTTTCACAAGGTAATTACAGTGTAATTATACGCGTACTGTTTGGTTGCATAAGTGTAATTACACAGTTAGATTACATTTTAAATGAATTATCAAAACTTAAAAGTTAAAAATAATAAATATATGCCTATAAATAATTTTTTTATAAGTATATATGATATTAGATTTGGTATTTAAGATGCGTATTTTTTCTTGAATATACACTAATTAGTAATCATATATTTATAACTAATATTGTAAAAATAATTTATATATATATTTCAAATTAATAATATTTAGTTTAATTAATTATAAAAACTAAAAATATACGTTTTGTAAGAACACCACGGAATGCATGTTTGATAATAAATTAATACTTATAAATATAATGTCATAACATTATGCAAATGTTTGACAAAACTAATCTATCAATTCTAACTTAAAAATGAACAACATTACTACTAAAACAAGTAAATTGGAACCACAAAATAACACAATTTCAAAATACCCCCAAAAAATAAATTAAACATACGTCAAATTCCAACATAATAAAAATAAATTCCAATACAACTTAAGATTAGGAAACATAATAAGTTTATAACCTCATTCAACAACGAAATTCTACTTTAATGGCATCACTCATTATGTGCCAAATTTGTTAATGACTCATTATTTCTAATACTAGGAGGTGTAGTTTCAAAAATTAGAATAATAACGGAGTTGCGCTACATGAGAAAATAAAACAAATACGAAATAAAATATACGAGCAATTACATGGAATCACAAGAAGTAAAGGTAGAGAAATAAAAGATAAATAATGTGCAGAAAAAATATATTTTAAAATTAAAAAAGAAAATTAAAAGTAAAAATAAAACAAAAAATTAAAATAATGGAAATAAAAAGTTATAAAGAAAATATATTAAAATAAAAACAAAAAGGAAAGAAATTAAAAAGTAACCTTGTAATTACACAATGTAATTACCACCAATTCTCATCTCCCCCTTGAGAATTGGAAAGTGTAATTACACCTCTCCAATTATACCCAATTACATGCGGACCAAGCAATTACTTGGCCAGATAAACATGCCAAACTGTGTAATTACACCCAAATCTAATTCCTAGGTGGCTTTCCAAACAGGCTCTAAAAGGAATTAAGAAAAGAAGCATAAGAAAAGAAAGAAAAGGGAAAAAAGTAACAAGAGAACAACTAGGACCACAACCTAGAGAATCGATCATAGGTCTTGTATGTGGGGTTTCAGTTGTTTAACCGTGGCACCTACAGTCAATTTGTGACTTGGGGTGCCACCCGTTACTTATGTTTTATATTTTGAGGAAAATACCAGTAGATATATAAAAATTTACCTGAGCGAGGTTGGCGTACCACCCCCAGCTCCCTACATCGATCCGCCCCTGCTTAGACTTGTTCACTGTCTCTTGATACACTTATCCAAGGACCAAGAATACAAGGATACATAGAAAATCAACAACTATACCCATTTAAAGTGACTTACCTTTTATTACAGGCTTATCCAAGTATTTTTAGCCTCTTATGGAAATATATAAGAACTCTTAGATTAGTCTCTCGCTAATGTACTTGCATCTTCAATAAGGATTAAATAAAATAACTAGAATGTCCTCAAATCTGCTCATATGCCTTAAATATGGAAGAATAAATAGTTCTATTATGAGAAAAGAGTCACCATACCAAGTAACTTGTCTCCCTGTCCTTGGCCACGACAATCAGGAGAAACAGCAATGGCAGCAACCTCCCCGCATTTTTCTTCAAAGTAAGGAAAGAGAGCCGCACAAGCTATAATGTGTCCCTCTCTCTCCACAACAACAAATGAATGCAGCGCTTCCGCTAGCTAGAACAAGTTAAGCAATGAAAAATTATGGTAAAGAAAAGCATAAGCCAACAAAGATAAAACAGAAACTGACTATATAAGTCTGAGTAATGACAAGCATCAGGTGTAACCTCTTCCTCAGTCCTTCTGATCAATGTTCCAGATTCTTCTAGAGGCTGTAACAACTGCTTTATTTCAGGAATATCCGACACCTTGGCCATCCGTGCTCCTTCATAAAGATCGCTGAGGCATAGATTCATGCTTGTGTTAGGTTGTTAGCTGAAGGGATAAACACAAACATAAACTAGGTACATCCAAAGATTAGGATCATGATCCGGCAAAAAAATAAATGTTCATTCTAATCATTGGGTGAGCTGGTCCTCATTTTGCATCATGAACTTCTGTCATAAAGAAATATTCTGGAAAATTTTGGAAGGTCATGATAACATCCAGGTTCTCACGAGTAGTGCCATTCTAAATATAGTGCAGATCCAAAGTAAAAAGGAGGTCAAAGCTTATTTTGGCAAGATATATAGCTGGTTAAACATTCCATTAACTTCTGAACCTATTCATTGATGACTTCTAATATACATATAAGTGTATATCTGGTAATAGGAAGTTGCACAGATTCTGAAAAGTGTCCAGACTGGATTAGACAATAGCACAATAATTATATATTCCTTCCAAGCTTCCAACCCATGGTATTTAAGCACTTTAAGTATAGGATGCTTAATTAGACCCAATATATATAGCTGGTTAAACATCTCATTACCTTCTGAATCTATTCGTGGATGACTTCTAACATCCATACTTTATATTGGGTTATCGGATATTACATGAGATTTCCCTGATAGAGAAATTAGACAGAATAATACAATTGTTTTTATATATTCCTGATATATGCTTCCAAACACTCGTATTTTGAGCATGAGAGTAAAGGAAGCATAGTCTGACCCAAGTGATCTGACATATCCAGCTGTCTATCTGATCGGCTTATTCAGGAAATGATCCAAAGTTATCAATTGAAAATTAACACATCTTGAAACTGTAATCATCACAACTAAATATTTCTGCAGAATGTGGCATACCGCATACCTAGCAACCATAGTCCCGACTCCATCTCTTTGGAACAATTCCTTCAGTAAAACTCCACCAATAGTACCATCCAACAGGTGCACTCTTTGAACACCTCCCTGATGGAATTAAAAATATATTATTTGAATAAGTTTCGAGAAGAAACAGATATCACGCTATTAAGCTAAGAATCAACATTCTTGAGACATAAAAATTCCCTCACTTAAAGCAAGAGAGATGGCAGACCACGTGAAGGGGGATATATAATATGAACTGCACAAAGTCAAACAGTAGTTGGGAAAATTAAAGAGTTGTCTATTCATGAAATGCACATATCTATACTGCTAAAGCTTATCATAAGAAATTTAATATCAATGAGATGCAAGTTTACAAGAGATGTGTAATCTTCTGAGGTATCTTTTAGATTCATCAGTAAAAGGGTTTAATTAGGACGAGCAAGCATGGGTAAATAACTCAATGACTACTACACTACTGAAAACACAGTGATTTCGGGAACTTACTCGGCAAACAAAAGCAGCAGCGGCTAATTCTGAGAGATAACCATTTGATCTACTTAGTTTCTCCTGTCCCCCAATTGCAAAACCTTGTTCACTAGACCAAAGCCCATTTCCATTGTCAAAACCAATGCCATTCTGAAATGTGGGATTGTATCTTCGGCTATAACCATTGCCATTTTGGGAAAGGAGTGATCCATTGGAATCATTGTAACCAAAATGATTGAAGTCCTCCTGACTAACAGCTTTTACATAATTAGCAGCAGTCTCACTTTGCTCAGCTCGTTTGCGGACCAACATATCAGCATCTTCAAGAGTTAAGAAACTAATAAGACGGCCAGATTCATTAAGAATTGGGCCGTCTATGATACAAATTAGTTTTTCTGCTCCTAGAGCCAAGGCACAAGCCGTCGCAACTTCGTACGTGCTTCAATGTTGGAATACAGCATATCATCAGTCTTAACAACTCACAGCAAAATAAAAAAGGAAAGAAAAACTGCAATTGCATGAATAAGTAATTAACGTAAATTTTAGACTTAAAAATATTCAGCCTGATCAATTAGAAATTGCTTTCTACAAATTCATGTCAACCTAAGCAATCTCCCAATGGCATAAAGAATCAAGATAAAAGTGAATGTAGCATGAGTTGAAGTAACATCTGACCACAGTCCAGATGAGTTCATCCGGCTTCATGCAAGCATTCTGTAGTATGTTTCTTTTCTCTTATCAAGTGTATTCTGTAGTATGTTAAAGTCATCAACTGAGTTAACCATAAAAAATGAACACCATCAATGCCACCATTTCAATAGATGAAAGTTTATTTGTCTTATACATATTCATGAATAGGAAAAACTACTAGCTTGTACGGAAGGATAACGTGAACTTTCCTTGTGAACTTGCTGGATTTCTTTAATATCTAAATGTACATCGATCGGAGGTTGTTAATATCAACTTTAAGCATTGCAACTTCAAGTGAACGAGTTCCAAAAAATCCCTTGGGTACTTGTCAAAATGTTAAAAGAGTAAGAAAGTGATTTTACATAAGTTAGAGTACCAGTGTACCACAAACATGTCAAATACGAGTTTGGTTGAAAGAGATGCTGGAATATCGCTAAGCTTTAGCATCTAGCTGCCTGAACTGCATTTATCATTCGCCGGCAACAAATTAAGTAAAATATGATGCAGTACCAGTTTATGCAAGACAATGACAAAGATACCTATCAAAAGTCATATAGCATACTTGCAGTTTAATACTTCTCCAGAGCTGGAATAAGCAAGATTGCTTAATAGCACAATGCAATCCTGATCAAGCCTCTCACGAATTCGAGAAACATCTATCTTCTTTACTTCACCAGTTGAAGCATAATCGATTCCTTCGACAACTCCTCTTCTCTGCCAGCAAATTGAAATAAAAATCACCATTACAGTGGATGACATACCACAAAACTTGAACCCAAAAAATGATTGATATATCTAGTAAAGCGACTAGGTGGTACTTAATGTAGATTTCGGAAAGAATGCAAAATGTACAGAAGAACAGACAGTGAGTGTCACATTTACACCTTCGCTGCTAGAAAATTACCACTGGCAACACCGACACTATCATGCCAGCGACTATTTTCTCCGTGCCTGCGGACGCCAGTCAATGAAGGGCCAGGAGACAACTTTGCCTCTATCATAAGACGAATTCTTCCAGATGAATCCATAGCCGCATTGAGTGAATCAGGATCTGTAATCCTGTAGCGGCCTACGTACTTGGGCTCACTTCCTGTTCAAAAAGGAATCTCTTGCTTATTACTTATTAGAATACTCTTGTAAGAAGATAGAGAACATCAGTAGCTAGAACAAAAGCAAAGGGGAAAAAAGATATAGTAGTCACAAATAGAAGTAGAAGCCTCTAATATTAAAGCACTAGATTTCCTTTACAACTTTTGGCAATTCTGAAATACAAATTATGCATACAGAATCGTCTTAAAGAGAAACAGAAGTGCATACATACTGGCCCCACGTTTCCTAATAAACACTACTTATGTTAGAATCTTCAAAAAAGAAAATAAACCCGAGACCATTAGAGAATGAAAACTGAAATTCCTAACAGAATAGAACCTTCAGTTTAAAAATCATAAGTTCTGATATCTAAGGAATCTAAATGATGCTAAAGCTGTTAGCAGCAAGAGGAGTAGCATGTTTGTTTCATACAGTAATTTCTTTTTTAATACTTCATACAGTAATAACATATATATCAGCATCAGAAATAGAGAAAAAACATAGCCAGGGACCATAAACAAGAAATATCAAAATGAATAAGAAGAAAAGAAAAGAATATATCAGAATTAGACTCACCCCTTTCAGCGAGAAGCCGGTCAATCTGAACATGAGTTCCTGGTACAAGAACAAACTTGATTCCCAGACCATGAAGGAGGGATATGTCCTGTAATAGTTTGGCAAAAATATTATGTAAACAAGAAAAATAAAGGAATACAATAAAAGTTAAGTGAAAAGGTGAAATTAAAATGGGGGAACATGCCATGAGAAGGTGATCCAAATGAGGGCTATCAACAATTTCAGCTGAGATTAAAATAACAAAGGTGCTTCCTCGATGAGCAAGAAAATAAGGCCAAGCTTCTCTGAAAAACCCAACAAATAGATCGTCTTTAATGGCACTGCTCACTTCAAAACCCATATCGTCTGTTTCCCCCAAAACCTTGCACCGTACTGACCTACCCCACAATCTTTTCCCATGAGAAGGTAAAATCTTTAGCGAACTTGCACCATTTAATCCCCCTTGGAAACCATTTGGAACTTGAGGATTCCAAATAGTGGTGCCACACAAAATCTTTAGCTGGCATTGCTTTATGGGAATTGGAGACAAAGCAGCCATGGATTCTCAAGCAAATGCAAGCCAAAGTCCGATAACACTGAAGTGGGCTTTGGCGGCGGAGGGCTATGGCGGCTGCCTGCTGAACGGGGTTGTTAGTGTGTCGTGAGGGTTTGGTGGATTGAAGAATTTGTAGGAAAAGTGATTTTGAAGGGAAGCGTGGAACGGACTTGAACCGGTACGACAACTGGTTAACTGACGACTCGCCACGTCCGGTCCTCAGCAATTTATTGGTGTAAGAAGTTTGACTTGCACATGTTTTAGAATTTAATCATTTATGTAACAAGTTGGCCTATTTTTTTAGTAGATCTTGTAAAGGATAATCTTACGCCAACTAAAATCTTGGTTCAGGTTATCTATTTGGCCGGTAGCATACGGACTTCTATCGCAAGTTAGGATCAGTGAACAAAGAAAGTTTTTATAGTATACATTCTATGAGTAAAAAAAAGTATAAAGTTAGAACAAATAATAACAGTACTATATGGTTTTGTGTAATTGTTGGGAAAAAAACCATGTGTTAGCTCTTTTGACCTTGCTTTGCTTCCACGTGTTAACAAGTAGATGACTCTCCGTGCACACTATAGAGTGGTGATAGGCACCAAAAATAAAAGTTCGAGCATATCCTACTTCCTACTATTAATAAGGGCAGTTGAGGAGCTTAGGGTCGCAGGGTTATTGTCACGACACAAGGACCTAACCTGTTGTGATGGCGCCTATCGTATAACTAGACAAGCCAACTCATTTTCAAAGTAAAATAATAATTTCATTTTAAAGATAATTTCAAGGTTATTTAACATAAAACCTCCAAATTAAAGAGTTTAAATCAAAGAAAAACAGAAGTGCGGAAAAGAAAAGCCCGACATCGGGGTGTCACTAGTCATGAGCATCTACTACGATCTGTCTAACAACGTCAAGGCTAACTCAGCCTGGAAAATAGCTAAATACAACTAGAGGAAGACAAAAGGGAGAAGAGCAGGGGCTGCGATCGCCAAACAGCTACCTTGCTATCTCCAAGAAAATCTGCAACCAAAACACTCAATAACTGCTACCGTGTCCAGCCACACCTGATTCTGCACACAAGGTGCAGGGAGTAACGTGAGTACGCCAACTCAGTAAGTAACAACAATAAATAAAGACTGAGCAGTAGTGACGAGCAATAAATCATATAACGTTCATATCAGGAAATCTTAGTAAAATACAACATGCTTTTAAAAATCACGATTTGAATCAAACATCTCGTTTAAACCCAGTTCCAGTAAAAAGAAAATCATTTAAAAACATCTCTCCAACAGTTTTTCAAACAAAGGCTCAATGCAAAGGTGAGCAAAAATGATGAAATCATAAACAGCCCCTCGGGCAAACCTCACAGTCACTCTTGCCACTCGGGCAAACCTCACAATCACTCTTGCCACTCGGGCATACCTCACA